TTTGAATATAATACTTTACTTCTAGGCGTTTTCTAAAATCTTATTTATTATATCATACAAACCTATATTATTACACAATTTAAAGGAGTAACCGATTCGATTGTTAAAATTTTTGTATTATTTTGAAGATGTACCCGAACCGTGTCTCGTTTGTGTTAGGGTGCCATAAACATTTGCATTATTTCTACGATTGAATCTGTTTAGAATGAATGATAAGCGAAAGATAATTCGATGTTTTGCATAACCAGCGATACGACAGAAGCCATAATCCTGTGGCTTCATCGACGGAGTTTAATGCAATTTATATCGTGTACCGCCTCGCCAATGACGTGTGCCTGCTAACTGTAGCTAAATGTAGCTAACGCCCGACAGTTCGAAATCGCCCTTCGCTCATGGCTCACGCCGAACGCAAATCCTCGATCAGTCTCGAAGGCTGTCCGCGGACCTTTAGTGCAACTTCACCTTTCGTTTGTTAAATACTCACAGATAATTAATCGTGTTTAGTACTCGTTTCACGATACGGTGTGCAAAAGTCTGTGTTCTATTGAGTGTCTCGTCATAGATTTTTCGTGCATCTCTAGCGTGCGTCTAAACGATCGGTTCTATGATTGTATGTTGTTTAACAGCGCTTTATAATGTTTGTCTTGTGTTAATGGTGTGTCTTTTGTTGCCTTTCTTTGATTTGTTTCGGTGCTTACTTCAAATGTGTAATGCATGATAGTTAATTGTAAATAGGCGTCATGTTTCATACGACTTCTTGAGATCGTTTGTACAAGGGTGACAGACGTACGAGGTCTTTGCAATGCGTATGTCGCGTTACTTAGCGCGTTTATAAATGCGCCCCTTTCACAATGGGCGTACTTAAAGTGCAGTTCATTGCATTTTCCTCCTGCAGGCTAATGCAGATAACGCATGCTGCAGCACTCGAGCGGGTGCGCCTTTTGAAAAGGTTTCTTTGTGAGCGTCGCTTTCTGAGTAGCTAGTTCTCGAGACGTAAAATAATGCTCGCATTGTGCTCCGCGATGCATTAAAACGATGTCAATAATTACGGTTTGCTCTTTGCCTCGTATGGATATGGATAATGGCGCGGAAACTAAAGAAAGGGAACCGGAAAATTCGGAGACGGGTGAACCGTGCCTGTAGACTTTTGGATCATGAGAGTTCATTGCATTGTTAATCATTACTTATTTATATGTTGATTAATATAAATGATTGAAATGAATAATATAAATGATAAAGTTACCAGGGGGTTGAGTGATGATTGTTGTCGAAATCATCAACACATACGCATTTACAGAAAAATGTATATATTGTATATATTTATTTATTTATTTACTATATCGAGACAAACGGAAACACAAAAGACAAAAAAATAACATACGGCATGCGGATATTTACAGCTGCTCCCTTAACTAATGTCTCACTGAGGACAAATCTGTTATTAGTTGGTAGAACACTTACGGCAGAACTATTACGATTACAGAGGACATTTAACTTATAACATTTCAACAAAGCAAAAAGAGAAAAAGAAGACGCGCATAGATTAATATATCTTTTCTTTACGGTTAGACATCGTGAAATTGAAAACTAAATTATTTATATGAGGGATCGTGTCAAAGTGTGTATACTTCATGAAGGCTGGATTTTGTGCATTTACTTGGGTAAAGAGTTAGGCGCCGTCGGTTTTCGGCTATTTTGGAATGCGTTTGTGAGACGCTTCAGAAACATAAGCTAATTGTATCCAACTATGAAATTTGAGGAGAAATTAAGAGTTCTAATATTACAACCATTTTTTACAACTCCTCAGGTGTTATGAATATCTGGGCGAAGGTGATCGTATACCATCAGCTTAACCTCCTATTCCTGTGCCATATTAGATTTTGTGTACATGTAAATATATGTAAAAGACCGTCTTTCTGTCGCTTTCTACAGATTGATGTGTAATTGGCGCGACAGTAAACAGAATTTAATTAGAGCGGGCTAAGCGAAACGCGCTACCGTCGTCACGTCTCTTAAATGCAATTTGTTGAAATGTTTACTCTAGTAATTTGTAGGGTTGCCAATTAATAGTCACCTATTATATATAGTTTTGATTATTTTTTCATTTTTTCGTTATAACATGTGTTCGCCTTATTCATCCTAACATTCATACATTCATCAAAATAAAACATTTAAAGACATTGTTTACCAGTCAAATATTAAACGTTACAGAAAAGATGTTGATAAGACTAAAGACAGATCCCAAAATAGACTGACAGCATTGTATAAAGTCATAAAACCAATTTTTTTCAACAAATAAAATATATAATACTTGATTTTATTGTACAATATCCTTTCTGTAAATAATATTATGGGGTGTATATAGCGTAGGTAGCGTTATATAGACACAAAAAAGAACCAGCTCTAAATACATTATCTGTAGGTCACAAACATGGGTATTCGTGTCAGGTTTGAATCGAACCTACGATAACATCTATATAATTATCAAAATAGCGAGTTTGTATATAATTATTTTTATATGTAACGACAACCCTAGATACCCCAGCTTAATTGGCGGTAGCAGGCAAGTTGCAATTACAAGTTCTGCAATTCAGCGCTTATATATAGCGAGAATTATATATTTAAAGCAGAGGTCAAATGTCAGTTGGGCACATGTGGCTACGTCCTTAATGAGGTACCTCTCATAAACATGCATCGTAGGTTAGACCTAAATATGCATTAAGCGGCCAAGTGCAAGTCAGACTTGCGCACTAAGGGTTCCGTACTATTATCTATAAAAACAGCAAAAAAAATCATGTCTGTTGTGTGGGAGCCCCACGTAAATATTTTTTATCCTATTTTTTAGTATTTGTTGTTAGAGCGGCAACAGAAATACATCATCTGTGAAAATTTCAACTGTCTAACTATCACAGATCATTAGATACAGCCTGGTGACGGACGGACAGACAGATAGACAGGCAGACAGACAACGGAGTCTTAGTAATAGGGTCCTGTTTTACCCTTTGGGTACGGAACCCTAAAAATTAACATTATGGCTATTTTCTAATCACTGATAGGTAAAAGTAATTATACTACTACAAACGACTTATATTAAAAGATAATACACAATAACAGCACTCCGGCTCCCATTCGACTATTTGACCTAAAAAATCGTAAAATTTTAGGAGAAAGCAATTCCTGCAAATACCTGCTTCAAATCCCGCCGTGAAGAAGCAAAATCCCTTTGAATCGTTCTAATCCACAACTAAAACCGAATGTCGCTGTCGGAGTTCGTACTTCTGAGTATCTTTTAAACGTCGCAATGCTACGAATACTACTGCTTGTTGGCTCTTTTGCCAGAATTTAATGTGCACTTTTACTCTTAAAGTTTTAGAGTTATTTGATGGCTTGGAAGCGGGTCAAGTGACAAAGTCTAATTTAATGTCTTTCAAGTTTTCATTTTAAGTATATTGAGTTACATTTAATAGTGGAATTAACATTTTTTGTAACATCAATTTAATAAATTGGAAAAGACAACAATCTCACTGTTCCAATATTAGTTCTTAATTTTTAACCTTAAGAACCCTTAACGCAAAATCGCGTGGTCATTGAATAATTGATCACAGAGGGGAGGCCCATAGTGTTTAGAACGACAATGACCTAAAAGCTATAAATAATTTTGTTTATCCAGTTCGTAATTTTTTTAGCGAAAGGAAATTAAAAAGAAAGCATGAATGATTTTCTGCGTTAAGATTCTTACTTGTAATGTAATGTAATTGTAATGTAAATAATTTATTTTATTTTATTTCTATGATACTATTATTACTACTTAGAAATAACTATCAAATACGAAAGTAAGCAGCACAGTTTGCGTTTAATTATTAATGGCTGTTATCTTAAGCTAGAATGTTCGGCGATATTCTCATAGAACTTGTTCCAATTTAATCGAGTACAAAACGCTTCACTGTGCCAGTTTGTAGCATGAATAAAGATGGCGACTTTAAACCTCCGGGACTAAATAAACAACATTTCAACCCGAAATTATCAGCTGAAAGATCTTACTAGTTGCCTGCCTGCCAGTGTACAATTTCGACCTTATTGTTTTGTTAAGTTGTTTGTGCAGTCGAAATAATTGTTGCTACACGTAATAAAATCATCTTCTAAGTATTATATACGCTTTACCAATTCAGCGTTCATATAAATTTAAATTGGAATAATGAATTTAGCTGCAAATTTGTATAGCATAGACTGACGGGCTATACATATGATACCGATTCAGGGATTAGTGTTTCAAATTTTCTTTTAGGTGTCAACAAATACATAAGTATAATGATCAACAATTCGATTAATTGTTAGGCATCTTTGATGCGTTTCGTACTCTGCTATCACCCTAGTCGGGTTTTGAAACGACAGGGTTTGAATCTGACATTTGACTTGAAGACGATATTCAGAATTGTAATCTGTATTCTGCCAAAGTCCGAGTCCAAGTTACACAACGCCTTTTCTAGAAAAAGTGATTCTTATAGGACGTTTAAAGTCTCATTGTTCCAAAAAGTAGAAAGTATTTTTCTTTCTTTTTATTCTAAGTTTTTAATTGCTTGCATCATTAGAGAATACAATACGTCATTATTTTACGTTTCGTTTATACGCGTGATAATAATTAACCTAGGAAAATAATGGTAATGTAATTTTTTTAGACATATATTTTATTTAGAACATAACAATGCTGGAAGCAACGTCATATTCAGCAAGTTTAACTTTAGTTCGCTTTAACTTAACAACGACTTCTTATCAAATACAAAGCGTAACAAAATAGAAATATGTTTTTGTGGAACATTAAAATTATTTTAAACATTAGTAGTAATAATTTCACAAGTCGATTCTGAATACAGTTATGTAGAATGTAGTTCGTTAACACTTTTATTCAGTTTACTCGTTTATAGCGATAAGGCGGTGAATTCTGCTGTGTAACTAGGGTCTTTGAGGTTTATAAGGATTCTTATAATTATTCATTCCTCAGCATGCTCACTGTTCAACTTAAAGATAAAGCAAGGATTTCACAGCTGCCCTTCGAGAAGTATCCTCACGGGCCATACATGACCAAGGTTAGATAGGTTCACGTTTACTTTCAACTTTCACCGCCAATCCGGGACTCGATAACATCGGGTCGTTTATCGAACGTGGCTCACACGCTTAGGCAATAAAGTGGAGTGGTCTCCGATATTCAGCCTCGGCCGAATCAAATCCGCCGGAAACAATCGAGTTTCGCGCTTATCGTATAGCCGCTAAGGCGATGCCCCATGGCCATCGTTGACTTGACACGCACGATCCTCCGCCCGCGTCTTTGACCGATTCATCGAAAGATTCGCCTATTTCGTTATCTGGACGAGCCTTTCGGCGAATTCAATCTTCGAGTGGTTCCATTTCATTGCGCGATGTGGAGCGATTTCATTGTATTTTTTCAACCGACTTCCAAAAAAGGAGTTTCTCAAGTCGGTCGCATTTTTTATTTAATGTTTGTTATCTCAAAACTCCGTAGTTTATATCCCAATTTTATAAATTCCTTTTCATTGGGTTCGTCTGACTTTCGATGTGGCCCCATATTATTTATTGGTATGGGACCTTGTACTCAGGAGATACTTTACTTATACTGAAAGGTAATTTCTTCAAAAGGACGTATAAAATTACGGTTAAGACATTAGAAGCTCCGAATGCAGTGTAATCGATAAGGAAAATAATTATTGCTGCAGGGTTTATTGCCGTTCCTTTTCTTACAGGGGCTTACTTAGCGAACCGGTGGATAACTTAGCTGAATTAAAGAATTTTATTTTGACGCAGCCCTAGATGGCAGTACAATCAATGTTGTAGAATGATTCGCTCTTATATCTATTGTACGAAATCGTTTACTTTTAATTTATTTTTATTTATTTAACAGGACTTAAATTGTATGTAAATACACTAAAGGTACTTAAAAATATATCATAAAATTTTTGATAGAAGACACCACATGTCCAAATAACAATAAAAAAAAAAACTAAAATGTGTTTGTATGTTTAAAAAAAGCTTCCGGCAAACTTTATTTTTTACCATCGGCTTAAGTTTTAAGTATAAAACTTTTTCTCTCATTGAAAGGCATGAGGTGTGCTGCCACCAGCTAAGGTTATGCAATTGAAAGTCAAAATTTCTGTATTTAATACACGATTGTTTCAAGTTCTTACACATGGCTCTATTGTGTTTTAAAACAAAAGTTGAATATTTTTTGTTTTCGAGTATGTGGAGCAAAAGACGCGTTAAAAATTAAAAGTTTGCGCTTAAAATAATTTGTCCACCAGTCAGTCATTTAACAGAATAAATATAGACTGACTCAATTAAATCTTATCGATCCGCTCTATATTTGTCTATCCGTGTGTCGAGGCTACTTCTAACAATCGAACGTTTATCGAGATAAAGCAAATGCCGTGCGAGTTCTACACTGGAATGGCATTCCTAAGGTCGTTCACGTTTACTCTTGAAAGTATTGAATAACTTAATGTCCTTTCGTAACTTGATTCGTAACGAATTGAATAAAACTTGAAAACGTTTTAAAATACTAAAACTAAATAATTAAATACTATACTCTTCAAAATCTGCATACGGGTGGGGAAACAGTTGTTACGATAATATTGGGTGTCAATTACTTTAATGGGATTGGAAAAACTTGTCATGAGACCATTACTCCATTGACAGTGGTCATCATCAGCTCAATGCCAACACGCCGCACTTGGGAGAAATCGCGGCGGGTGGATTGCAAAGACGCTAATGTAAGCGACATCGTGATAATCGTTGCCAAGTTCCGTGCCAGTCATGCCAACGGCGGTGTGGCTATCGTTGCTTTGATTTATTACAAAGCTTTTCCCACTGCCCGCGTCCAGTAATGCATTCTTAATACTAGTCATACCTCCACTGTGTCCCGATTAAGATTCCTCTAGTTTCACGATGATCTGTGTTAAAATAACGCGTATCTCCAACGGCAGCTGTGTTAATCTTTAGAGTAATAAATGTTCTAAATTATTTTATATTTTGTTGGGACAGTTAATTGTTCTGTATTTGCTCAATAAAGCACACGATTGTCCTCTTATTGACCCAGTGCAAGGCACTGAGTCGTTTCCCTGCGATAAAAACTGACCGTTGCTAACCAACTGAAGCGTTCATTAAACATTGTTATCGTCACTTGATTATTTTTTCTTACTTTTAGTTTTTATCTTTGTCGTTATCGACTCGGACATTTTATGAATATAATGATGATTTTTTTACTAACCTTGTCTTCCTCAATGTTTCTTCCTTGTAATATAAGTTTACTGAAATTAATTTAGTTTAGTTCTCGCTAAAGATCGCTCGATCATTTGTATCGATCGGTCACCTATCAGCAAGCATATCGCACACGATCCCGCGAAATGGCCTTGTTTGTACACCCCTTGCGGTTGTAATTTTATTTATTTCACCACCCCCTTACCCGATAAACAGAATAACGGCTTGGCTAGACTACAAACGGTTTATTCGAACGTCGATTGCAACGGAATGAACTTGAATCCAGTGCGTGTTGGACTACGCCGGGACTATGTGCTAGTGCTGTGAGACCTCGAAGCTGGTGACCTTGGACCGGACTGCCCTAGCGCCCGGCAAAGTGGCGAAGTCCGAGTCGCGGCTGGAGCTCGTGGGCGAGGGCGAGGGGAATGGGTGCTGCTCGTGCACTGGCATGAGGATCGGCGATCTCGGCGGCGCCCTGCTCGAAGCCGCCAAACTGACGAGGTTCTGGTTCTGCCAGAAGCCGGGATACGGGTGAGTACGGCGGCGACCGTGCGCCGATCGTTTGTTCGTCTTAATGAAGAAACATTTTCAAGGGACTCCAAATAGAGGAGGTTCTCGTCTCGGTTGTGTGTTTTATTTTGTTAACTCGGAACTGCGTCGTTTATGAAGCCGTTATTAACAATTATTTCAGCTCCCATTTGGTCCGATATTAATTTCATTGGTATGGGACCTTAGACTCCGAAGATAATTCAGGGAATTCCTAAAAATCAAATAGATAATGTGTACCGAGTGAGATATACGAAGTATTTTTTTTTCTAATTTTAAATGTTTTATATCGAAGAGATTATAGTCTATAGATTGAAAGCAGTAGTGATATCTGATTAATATCTAAGGAATTACTTGGAAAAATAATTTTTCATTGTCACATATTTATTCTCTTTACATTTGAGCTAAATTTTTCTTTTAAACGAAATGAGGATAATTTAAAAAATTATGAGTAACGACGGTATAAAATCTGGTAAATTAAAAACATGCTAGATAGAGGCCTCTACCTTTTACCTCGTTAACCTACTTTACATTTCGCCCTCACGCTAAGCTCTTCTAGGATGTATATATTTTTATACCTTTTAATTTCTCTTTACGTAATCTTTTACAAAGTTTAGTTCATCATTTCATCATGGACCATAGACAAGTCTTTAGCCAGAAATGTTCAATTTTAAATTTTTGACAGATTTCAATATGATAGTCAGATAGCAATTCATGTATGTGATAAGTGTTGTTAACTAGACAAGAAATGTATAAATTATATAATATGTTTAAAATTATGTATGGACGTTTTTTTAAATTTATATTTGACGTATTACATGTTTTTGCTCTTTGCGCGTAGATTTGATCACGAACGTCGAATTGTCACGTTGAATATGAAAGTCGCTTACGTTACAATTAATTTGCTGGCGTTCACATTACTCGACCCAGTTTGTCGTGTGCAACTCTTGCAGACTGTGTCTTGACCAAGTTTAGATTGTTATTGTACGATGAAGTTTAAGCGAAACTCCTCACTCGGTGAGAGCCGAGTCCTAGCCAACTCGAGTAAACCGAATGCACTCGACCCGTATTCGAACTGTGTGTTCTAAAGTAATGAAATTTGTTTTTTCGCCAAACAATACATCTGCCGATTTACTATATATTTCTATCTATATGAATAGAATGACAAGAGTTCTGCAGTTGTGCTCGCACCACAGAAAAACTACTGAATGTATTTAAATTAATTATTAAGTTTTATTTCTTAGACACTTGTGATGTCTTCATTTAATATAAAGTAAGAAACAATGATTTTTGTACGCACTACTTGTTCAGTGGTAGGTGTAGTTAATATAGTAAGAAGCGTAGACGAAGTTCCGGTTTCAACTAGTTTATAATTTTCTCTCTATCAGTACCCAGTACTATATATACTATATATATAAAGCTTCAGTCACAAAGAAGAAATCTTTTTTTTTTATTTTTATGCGAGAAGCTGGGAAGCGTGCTGGCAGGTAATCTGATGTTAAGTGATAACCATCACCTAAGGACATTTGCAGCACCCGTAGAGTTACAGATGTGTTGCCGCCTTTTAATATAAAGCGTGTCTTTACAATCGCGACAATAAATGAACACAGATATAGAGGATAACTTTTTAAAATTGTATTAAAGATTTAAGGTCTTTAAACATCAATATTTAGCGAGTTATCAAATTTTCCAAAACAAAGAATTTTAGAACACCCTTACATATAAAACTTTAATGTAAAGTTCATTTGTAATGGTCACAAAGCATATGAATGGGTTGAATGAATTTAAAAGAGACAAAACATACTTTTAGAAGGAGAGGCTTCTAATGCGGCGCTGTGGCAACGAATGAAAAAGTCTCTGAATGTATGAATAAGTCAGATGTAGTTGTATAGGTTGTTACAAATTTTGTTTCATATTTACTTAATTACCTTGTTTGAAAAATATTTTTTGTAACATTGATTGTTTTTAACGTTAATATTTTTTTATGATTATTGGTAAGTAGCGTTACACGTGTGTTCATTTATTGTCGCGGTGGTAAAGACACGCTGTATATGAATTAAGTCTTTTTGGAAAACAGAACGGGTACCTTTTTGTTGAGTATGGTAGCCGATTTGGAGAAAGGCTGATAATTCCAAAAACAAAGAAAAAATTCATTTCCAATAATTGCTATATAACGGCTATAAAAGTGTACAATAATTTGCCAAGGGAAATCATAAACTTACCGTTTACAATCTTTAAGAAGAGATTGTATGAGTGGATAAAGAACACATGCTTTTATTCAATCCAAGAATATTTAGAATACAGTTCCAAACAATAACAAATTTTATCTGATTGTGTCTAATTTTATGTAATTGAATTTTGACATAGTTTCTCAAGATGTAGTTTATAAAAAGGACATTGGATTTTTGTTATCATGTATGAAGTAAAGAATAATAAGTATAGAACTAAAGATAAGTATAGAATGTAAACTTGAATATGTCATTTTGTATACCAGAAATAGTTGAATATGATTGAACCGTATAATATGATTGTCAACATCTTTTATACTGTATTCAAATAAATAAATAAAATGCCGTATAACACTTCTACTTCACGTCGGTCTTCTAGTAGGTCGCGGTACTTCCCCGGACGAGAATTGTGGTTCTACCATAATGAAACGGGATTCAACTCCTTACATAATTTATTCCGATAGCTTAGTTAAACATTAATATGAAATTTTTCAAAGAAAATCATATTTTTTTAATGATTTTCTATTGATGTGTGTGTTATCTTTGGATACGTTTAAGTGTGTCTGAATTTATGTGAGTCTGGAACGGATGGCGCGAATACGACGCTGCTTTCTTAAGTTTAAGTTGTTCCCCGAGATGATTAGAAATCGGCCTGTAAACTCTCACTACGATGGGTCTAAGAAATTTGTGCCGAGGGTCAACGGCGTTTTATGTTTGCTAGTTTAGTGTCTTTATCACACTTGACCTGGTATGGAAGCCGCGTAAGCGCAAAACTGTCCGTTTTGATTTTGTACGATAAACTGTTTCACTGTTTAAATGTGATAGGGCCACGCAACAGTCTTCGCTGTTGCATGAATGGGCAGATTTGTCCGTAAGTACCAGAAATAGTCTCGCAGAAGACCAGTGTGAGGTGGAAGCGTTATACTTGTACGTTTAGTTGTGTGAGTGCGGTTACTGGAGCCCAATTTATTATAAGAAGGCAATGCTTTTGTAACCCTATGGATGTTGCAAATGTTCACGGGCGGTGGACATCAGTCAACATCAGGGGAACCGCCATTCGCTTGTCTCTTTATCACTTAAAAAAGCTGTTAAGTTTGAAAGCGTTTCGTTTACTTCAAAAGCGTCTCCTAGACTGTTAAGCATTTGATATCCCAATGTAAAACCTAACCACAAAGCTTGTTTTTTTTTGTTGCTTGCTTAAAGTGAAATTGAAACTCGTACGAAGGGAACAATCCATTATTGGATCAGCCGCAACCGCAGCCGCAGCCGCTCCGACCGCGCCGGATTGCGTCGAAAACGAAATCTGGCCCATTATCCACGGCCGGGTAGTCGCGGGCCGTGCCCGGTTTAATGATCGGCGCTGTTCTTTCGCGGAACTGGGTCGCTCCTGCAACCGGCGGGTGCATTCGGGCGTATCAATCCATTCACAGAGACAGAATGGAGTCCCCCTCACCATATCGCTCCTCCACAATTGACAGAATGTTGCGCTCCATTTCACGATGTTTCTAGAGAGACAATCATTGATACAATGTTATGTTTAGCATATTAACTTATTATTAGTGGTCGCCCAGTGGTCGAAAGTCGACCACAATTAATTATACATGTTAATGTGAGTAATTTTTTTCCTTTACACATTTAATGTATTTTTATACATGAGTGATTTAAAAAACAAATAAGGATTCTGCATCCTCTATATAAACTACTAGTGACCCGCCCCGGCTTCACACGGGTACAATGTATTATACAAATATACCTTCCTCTGGAATCAATCTGTCTAGTAAAAAAAACACATTAAGATCCGCTGCGAAGTTTTAAAGATCTAAGCATACAAAGGAACAGACAGCGGGCGACTTTGTTTTATATGTAGTGATAACTGTAGGAAATTTCATACTTCTCCGTCAGCGCAATTTTCGTAAAAAGGGGTACAAAGTTTTTGCTTCACGTATTAACCACGGTCAATACGTGAAGCAAAGTGAAGCGGTGTGGTTTCGCCCGTGTTACATTTAGATACGTATCCGTGTTGCCGCTCACGCTGCTTTTATAATTATAAAACGTGAAAAGAATTTTTAATTCGAACAGCTGCTGCTGATGAGATTAGTTTAAACGTCCATATACTTCAGCTTTACCTTATTACTGTAAAATTCTCGAAATGAGCGTATAAAAATGTAAAGTCATCTTCATATGCAGGATTAATAATTTCCCCAATTTACGTACACTTCAAAACATTACGGTGTACCCAACAAATATATCTTCAACTTTCTCTTTCCGGTTAATCTGATTAAACCGTAACCGTCTCGATCGATGGCCAGGATGAGAGTGATAAACAAAGCAAGTGTGGCACTTGTTTGTGGCACGTCGTATCCTGTTATTGTCAACACAGCAAGGATGTAGGCATTAAGATATGGGCATCAACCGAAAAATGCGCTATTCCGGGTCGAGAACTGCGGTCACCGTCGCACTGATTCGAGAGGCCGACTGGCTTGGCGCCAACCAACGGGGCAGCGAATTAATTGGCAGGCTCGCGCGCGGATGAACGTGAACTATGCGATTTACGCTGACGCCTGTTCTCGTTTCTACTCAACTGTGCTCGACTGGATGCCGAAGTTTCCTGACGATACGAGGGCTTTACTTCCCTAAACATGGACACAAAGTGAACCGGTGTGACATTGTTTAATTTTAGATTAGTGGAATGAAACCTTTATCGAAAAATTCATGGATTTTGAAAATTTTTCTGGTAATATTTTCGAAATACTTTTA